AGTGTCTTAGTTACTTTTCCTGTGGTAGGGACAAAATACCCGACACCAAAGTTAAAGGAGGAAAACATTATGTGGCTCAGGGTCTGTAGAGGCTTCGTTCATACTTGGGTGGCTCCAAGGCAGGGTGGTGTGCCAGAGGGGCATCACAAAGCAGAAGACAAGCAGCAGTAGCAATAAGCAACAAGCAACAATAGCAGCACTTTTGTGTCCTTTAGCACTCCCCTAAAGGCATGTAGCATGCACATATGTAACTATGCCAAACCAATCAGTGAATTTAGTAATCACACACCCTTAAACCCAGTATCACACACTCTAGATCCAGTCACCTCTGAAAAATCCCCATCTATGACCACATATGTCTTTGGAGGGATATCTAGAAGTAAACCAGTCAGCAATGCTGAACAATTTTTCATGTAACTTTTGGCCATTTTTACTTCTTTTGAGAAGTGTCTTCATTTTAGTTACCCATGTTTTGATTGGATCTTTTATCTGGGGGAGCTACTTTCTTTTTAGTTCATTAGATATTAGTCCTCTGTCTGAAGCATAGCTGGCCAAATTTTTTCCCATTCTATAGGCTGTCTCTTCACTTTCTTGTTTTTTTCTTCCTTTGCTGTACAGAAGCTCTTTAGTTTGATATGCTCCCATTTGCTGGTACCATTTCTCATGGCATTGGGGTTCTATACATCAAGCTCTTGCTTACACCTATGTCATCAAGAATTTTACCTATTTTATTTGCCAGATCAAGTGTATCTGTTAAATTCTTTTAGAAGTACAGTAATCTTGAGTTTTGTGCATATTTTATCACCAATTTGAGAATTACTTCAAAGAAATATTTGGTTGTTACTATTATCTTTTCAGTTATTATTTAAAATTTTAAATTTACAACTTAATTTTTCCTCACATTGAGGATGTTTATTGCTTTTACTATTTCTGTTGCCTTTTTAAAATTAATAATTCTTTAGCAAAACTGTTATACTGAGCAACTATTCTACATTTCTTTTGATCTGACCTACCTCATCACTTGACCCTTAATTTTATAATCTGAAAATATCCTCCATTTTTATTAGCTAAATTAAAATTTCAAATCATTAATGCATTATGCATTTTTAAAATATATTGGAAAGCTCTTTAGTTACCATGATGTTGGAGATTTAAGTCTCAAAACACAGCTAAGAATTTGTGTTGGCAAATGTACTACATACACATACTCATGATACTGGAAGTTCTAAGATATACTTCCATTAACACTTTGGCTCAGGGGCTGGGGATTTAGCTCAGCGGCAAAAGCGCCTGCCTGGCAAGCGCAAGGTCGTGAGTTCAGTTCCCGGTACCAGAGAAAAACCAAAAAAAAAAAAAAAAACAACTTTGGCTCAAATTCCTCTGCACTGTATCTTTCCATCTTTCAGCTATACCGTCTCCAGTAACATGCATGTTATCTCACTGTGGGTCAGATATGACCACAGTCACCCTCAGGCTTCATTATTATATTTTCAGTCAAATAGGAAACAAAAATTTTTCCACAAATCCTGGCAAAACTCTTAAGCTGATTCTCATTAGCCTGATGTCTGAAGATTGAAGGCTGCCAAGTATGGGGGACTTGTAGCCAAAGATTGAAGCAAGCGACTGTTCCTTTCTGAGGGAATGACCTTGACAATAAAAGCAAGTGTTTCCTATGCTTAGTTTGATAACACTTCTCTTCCATTAGCTAGATTCCTTTTAATTCATTCAGGCTTCTTCATTTCTTTTTCAATTTATAATATAGTCATAGCTGTAATTTCTTCATATCCTTCTTCTTAAATTACATGGAATATAAAAATCATGTTAAATGAAATTTATCCTACTCAAAAGTAGGACCCTTCACTTACTTAAGAGGATTCTATTTCTAATTTGTAAAATTTACTTATCTTTAAGCTAGGAAATGAAAACAACCAAAATACTTATCAAGTAAGGAACTGATGAAGCAGATAAACACAGTGGAGTATTACTAACCCATTGAAAGGTTATAATCCTAGTCCAGGTGTAGCGGCACATGCGTATAACACCAAAATTCTGGGATGCTGACAGGGGGCAATCACAAGTTTGAGCCCACACAGTGAAACTTGGCAATTTAGCATGACCCTGTCTCAAATTTAAAAATTTTTTTTAAACGTCTGGGGACCAACTGAGTTCAGAGGCCCTGGGTTGCGTTGCTAATAAAACCAAAGGAAACAAACAAAAAAGTAAAATCTTGTCATTTGTAACATGAATGGAAACATGGAACTGTGGATAATTAACTTCAGAGAAATAAGCCAGGCACCGAAAGATAAGTACCACATGTTCTCATTCACAGGTGGAATCAAGAACCTTCTCAAAATAAAAACTATGCAAAGGGTGGGAATCTAGCACAGCAGATGCCCTAGGTTCACTTCCCATTATTTACATATCACCGAATAGTTAAGAGGTTTTTTTTCAGGACTTCTAAAGTGTCCAAGTGATTACACAACAATTTTAGGATTCTCCTTTGACTCAGTGATTTTGCTTTGTATCTTAGTTCTCAACCTTAAAATCTGGATATATTGCTCATTATGAAAGAATTTTCATTATCTTCCTTGTAAGCTATGATATATCAATATAGCCACACTGCAGCTAGCAGGAAAGGTGAAAGATAAAGAGCATAAGGCCTTTTCTTTAAAATTCAATCCAGAGGAGATACACACTATGCCAGGTCATATGTCATCAGCCATGTTTTTTTTTTTTTTTTTTTCTGGTACCGAGAATCAAACTCACGACCTCACGCTTGCCAGGCAGGTGCTGTGCCGCTGAGCTACATCCCCAGCCCCTATGACTTATTTTTTAATGTCCAACTAAATTCTGATTTTCTAAACTGCCAGGATACAGGGAGAACATGTACTGGGAACAACTAATGCTGACACATAATTATCTGTAACCTACACATTTATGCCAAAGTTACTTAGCTGTTCTATAAGGTCTGCAATGAAGAATTCACACACCATACCTAGCAACACTTCCCCTGACATTTTATTTATATATATATATATATATATCTCAATGCTTACCCCTTAGTCATAAATACCTTTAAAATACCAGACTTATTAACTTCCAGAAATATAGAGACAAAAGTTAGAACTGACTTTTTTCAGTTTAAATTGAATATACCCTTGGTAATTTATAGAAAGTAATAAGTATGTCACAAGCAATGTGCAGGGGCAGGAGTCTGCAGGCAGGGGAAAAACAGAATAAGCACCTCCTTAGTTTTTCTAGCTAACCTTAACTTGGAGTTAAAACTTTACTACAAAAATTCCCTTGGGAGCAGTTTCAAGGCCAAAGGTAGAGAAAGAGAAAGAAAAACATAAAAAAGCACCAGCCTGCATAGGTGGCATTGAAACCTGATAGAGAGAAAGGGGCTGACAGGCACAGCACAAAGAAAGCCAAGTACAGGACACTAAAAACCCAGAATAAGCCATCCCTCCCTATCTCCAATAGAATGAAGGGGAAACAAAGCTCTTCAGTATATTCCTCCCCCGCCCCCCACCACCCTGGGTCATCATACTACTACAAAAGAATACCCACACATCCCCTCACTAACTCTAGGTTGATAAGGCTCCTACTAACCAACTAATCCTAGGGATAAGGCCCTGTCAAGGACAAATAAACAGGCGGAAAAGAAGTTACACAAAGCCCATTAAAACAAATGCACACATAGCAAGGGGCTCCAGTCCAATTCAAGGACAACCCAAGGAAACAAATCAGGTTATAGCACATTTCAGGTAGGGGGAAGGATCCCTGGCACCCAATAAAAGAAGCCAGGGAAAAAAGCTCCATGGGTCCTCCATCTTTCTCAAGCTTCCTGTCACTCTTTGGGGCAGTTTCCATCTTCTCCTTTTCTCTCCTTACAAATAAAGTACAGTGGTCCCTCACCTATCCTGGGAGTTATGTTCCAGAGACCCCCCATAACAGGTGAAAATCCACAAAGTAGCAATGTTATATTTATTTTATTGTTTATATATATTTTAAGGCTTTATTAACCCTTCCCACACTCCTATAAACCTTCCCCACTCTCTTATTAACCTTTCCCACTCTTATAAACACTTCATATGCTCTTAAACACTTTCTACACTCTTAAACCTATGTAATTTTAACAACATGTAAAATTCTATATGGGTACTCGATGTGAAGTGGACAAAGAGCAATGCTGAATGTATGGGCACAATGCAGGAGAGCAAACAGACCATTGGCTACAGTCACTGAGCCAATCAGCGCCCAGGATACAGAACACAGTGCTGTAGTTTGCTGCCTTCCATTTCATCAGCCAACAATGTGCCATGTACAATTTCACGTTGGCAAACTTGCACAAGTGGTGGTCGTATACTGCATTTCCATTGTGCACAGTACAGTATTCAATTGCTGATGAAATACAACTGTATTTTATTTTGATTTAATATTCTTTTAATATGTTTGAAATAACATTTTTTATATTTTTAATATTGTTTTAAATTTTTTGGCAAAAATAATTAAAATCATAAATATTATATAAAAAATAAATATTATCTAAATACCTATATACCACAAAATCCCACAATATAGCAAAAACTCTGCAATACACAACTAGACATTTTTTTAAAGAAACTTGCGATACAGTGAAGCCGCAAAAAGTGAATTGTAATATAGCAAGGGACGATTGTATCTTCCTATCTAAACCCTGTCCCTTTATTTTGTTACTAATACTGAGTTTATGATACTAGTTAGCTGCTCATGCAAGTTGAAAAGCAATGCTTATCCCTGAATGTGAAAAATGTAAGAACTAAAAATACAGTGAATTATATGAAGTAAATAATGGAGTGATGCAAGAGAAAAGTAACCTATGCTATCAAGGAAACATCAGGTTAATAAAAGAAGACACTAAGAATGAGGATATTTGATAACAGTGTTCAACAGGCTAAAACATTTTAAATAAAAGCAATAACTACTTTCAAAATAGTAACAAAACATACACAACTCACTTTCTCACTTATGAAAATGTTATAGTCCACTGGGTATTCTTCCATGCTTCTGCTATTTTTGGTAAAAATTCCAGGTTCATTGTTTTCATTCCCCAATTGATAAAGAATATGCTGAAACTCAGAGGTAGACTCCACAGGCTCAATTCCATAAGAAACATTTTGAAACTGCAATATTCCTCTGTAAAATTCAGGAAAAAACTTTAAATGCTAGTAATCACATTCATATTATGAGATTGACACAATCCATAAAAGAAAAATATACTGGGGCTGCAGATTTAGCTCTGTGGCACAGCGCCTGCCTGGCAAGCACAAGGTTGTGAGTTTGATTCCTGGCACCGGAAAAAAAAACAAAAAACAAAAACAAACAAAAAAAATATTTATTAAAGATATGGTATATTTTGAGTCCAGTATTTTCTTCAAAGTTTTGTCATAGGGATAACTTTTTAGGGACACATAATTTCTCTAATCCATAACACCAATTTTTCATCTCAATTTTTATCGTTATAAAGGGAGCAGAAAACACCTAATCAATTGACAAGGAGTGCAGTATTAGAGTATCCAAGTGATGCCCCTGTTTTCCAAGTCAATGACAATTAAATTCTTAGTACACAGAAATCTTGATGAATTTTTTTCTATTTGGCAAAGTTTTTGAAGAATTACTACAGGGGATGCACATGTACCAAGAGAGTAAGAGAACAATTTTATTTATGAATATAAAATTTATTAGTAAATATGCAATGAAATTTATACATTAGCCACTTGTATATCTATCCTTCCCTGAATTCAGGTAACAGTTTAAGTTACTACTTTATAAGAAAAAAAGTTGATGATTTCATGTAAGACGCACTGAAAAACACTGGCTTGTGAAAACAAGGGTCCTACATTAGAAAACAAAGCTGGAGAACTTTCTGACACAATGGAAGCTGCTCTAATCAGGGAAAAGCAAACAACATTCTTAGAGAGTTCCAGTGTGTGATGTTACTAAAAAATATAACATTAACAATTATTCATATATATATATAACTTGCCTTCTTGTCATAAAGATGATTTCTTTGACAAAAAACAAGGCTGCTTTACTTTTTATTTATTCATTTCATCTCTTAACAGTGAAACATAGAGCTGTTACTGTAAATAATCTATTCGCTGACAACTCATCCACTCTAAACTTAGCTCCTCCAATTTGCCACAACCAAGTACATTCATTTGTGATTTCTGTGGTTAAGAAAAATAAGCAGGGCGAGGAGACTAGGCAACCTAAAACTTCAAGGAAATTTAAAATATCTGGTGGTGAGGAAAAGAAGGAGAAATGAGTTCAGAGGAGGATAGTCTTTGCAAAAGCTTGATTTCAAATAAAAATCCTCCTCTAGCTGTATACTTGATATAAACAGAATAAATCCACTACAGCCAAATAGCATAACTATTCTATTAAATATCATAACTATTCAATAGAAAACAACCTCAGTCCAGAGCATGCGTTGAGTGTGACAACAGAATTTGGATATTCTTTGATATATCCTTGATAGTAGCATTCAGACTAGGAAAGAAAAAACATAAAGTAGTTACATAGGAACTGGCAAACTTGCTAAGGATTTTCTATTTCTATGCTTGATAGAACTTTTTCAATATTGTTCACAGGCAACATGATTTACATCTGCATGAGTAAAATGAAATTCAGAAAAAATATACTTCCTAGTTTCACTGCTCTGCTTAGATGGTGGCTTGAATTATCATTTTATTATCTGCCTCCACTATGTTATTTTATTAGGTGAAATTATTTTCCAATTTACAAATTTAGCTCATCAATTAAAAGATTACAGATCTGGATTTCTTTAAAATTATACTGTTACCAACTTTCTCTCTGGGCTCCTCTCCTGAGGATGATGAAGGATGAAGTCAATGGATACAGAAAATGGGGACTACACAGACAGTCATTTATTAGAGAAAACAAAGAGCTCTTGCTAGCCAAGAGGGGCACCAAGGGAAGACACGGACGAGGCACCCACCTTCAGGGGTTTTTATGTTCTTTCTTGGGCTACCTTGGGGGCGTGGTATGAAAGTGAAACAAAGGAACAACATGGGTGCCATTTTTAGTTAGGCCTCTGATGTTAGAACAACCTTACCTCACACCCCAATTTCCAAGGGCTTATCTCAGTTTACCTAGACCTCTGCCTTTTTAAACAATGGGGCTGCCATCTTTAGCTAAGCTTCTGTTGTCAGGAGAACACATATCCTCTAGCTTCCCAAGCCAGACCTCAGTGAGCTTCTTTCCTTTGTTTCCCAATTTTCCCAGGGTTTATCCTGGTTTACTCAGCTCCCTATCCTAGATGCCTGTTGTTTGTCATCCTCTGGTCTCAACAGTGTTGCATATAAAAATATGTAATGATAACAGAAAATTGAGACACTAGCTATCCCATGTCAACACAATCCCAAAAGATGACATGAAATCTGTATTAATAATGAACATGTAGACTCTAAGGCTATAAGCATTACTAGAGGTAAGAAGGGACATTTCATAGTGATAGAGATTTCAATTCACCAGGAAGATACAAATATTCTAAATCTGTATTCACTATATGATATAGCTTCAAAAACTTGATATAGCTAAAATATAGCTAAAATTGAAAGACTAGTACAAATACAAAGTTCACAATTATACTAAAGTATTGTTCAACATAATTTTTCTCAGTCACTGATAAGTCAAGCATTCAGATTTTACAGGTATGAACAGCATGGTTGGTAATCAACCAATTATTACATGTTGAACATGAGGCAGAAGAAATAAAGGTGGGTAGAAAAAGAAAAGAAAAAATGATTTAAAAAATGAAAACCGCACCTTCAGGACCAAAGCCTACTTTTTTTTTTTTTCTTTCTTTTCTTCCAGAACCCAATAAGCCTTTACAATTCCCTTTCACTTACAAATGCATTCAATCATTCCAATTTTACTTGCAAATGGCCTTCTTGCCCCTGTGAATAGACAACCTCTTTGCACCTATAAAATAGGCCTTTCTCTACAAATGAGCTATTTTTTTCTATGGATGAGGCATCCTTTCCCCAGTACCTAGACACAACTTCCTACAGATTCACAAATTCCACCAAAATCTCATCAATATTCCCAGTTCCAAACTGTACTAAGTCCTCTATCTGTCTGTCTGTCTGTCTCTCTCCCCTATTTGTTTCTCTCTGTAGGGCCACACACTCTTTGAGTGTGTAATCTGAATTTCTGCAGAATGAGCCCCTTCTTCGCCTCTTACGGACTAGTGCTAAAAACTCTTTTTCTCAACTAGTCAATAAACTTGTAAATACATGTAAGTATGAGAATACAACACAATACCTGAAAGAGTAGAATACATTTTTAAAAGGCAAAAGATTTATATGATCTAAAGAGAAACCAGAAGATAGAATACATTTGTAAAACATACTTGGAGCATTTACAAAAATGAAACCATATTCTACGCTGTAAAGCAGGACCTAACAAATCTCAAAATGTAGTAGATTAATTATCATGAATAGGCAGTTCCAGCAGCCTAACAGGGGGTCAGATAAAAAGAGCTCATTTAAGCAGCCAGTTAATCAAGCAGCTCCTTAAGCTTACAAATGTAGAAGAAAACACAAGAACAAAGGATAAAAGGTTGGGATGAGAATACAGAGAAAAAGAAGGAAGAAGACTATTAACCTGGGTATGCTAAGTTTATTAACAGCTCTAACAGCTCTTCCTTATCTCTGGACCTGGACTTCAACTGGACTAAAACAAAAAATTAGAAATGCAAGATAACCAGTTTCTTCTTCAATACTTTTCAACTCATTTCCTTTGCACTAAGCCCCCACACATTCTGCCTATCTATGTAAGGCCAAGAGAGAGAAAGCACAATGGACTCCTTTCCTCTCTTGATGGGTATAGACCAAGAGCTTCTTTCTTATTATATCTAATAAATATTCTCCCAAATTCCTTCTTTTGTCCTTAAATGTATTCTTTAATTTTGAGAGACAAAGAACTCAGGTTTATACAAAATTATCTGTTTTATTGTAAGACAGCAAGAAACCTCCGATATCAGGCACATTCGTTGTTCCCAAAGAGTACAACCTAGCTTCTTGCAAGGAAAAGTGTCACACGTGATTTGCAAAGCTATTACCGGCAGGCACAGGCATTGAGGAAAGCACAGAAGAACAAAGCTATGTCCATCCGCACCTTACACCCCAGAAAGATGACCACACCTTCATGCCCCCTCAAATTCCTTAAGGCAGAAGCTCTCTCCTCCCCTTCAAATCCTTTGCTCTTCCCTCTCTTCCTGCTGATTCCACTCTCCAAACTCAGCCTGCTTCTACAGGAGGGAATAAATACCCAAGGTTGCTCGTACCCAGCTTCCTCAGCTGATCTCTCTCTGCTCTGTGCCTTTAACATATGATGCCCAAAACCCAGGATAGGGTATCCATCTTTAGAGGGACTTCAAGCCTTATCTTGAGCCCCTGATGTCTTAAAGAGGTCACCCTGTGACTCTGACTTCTCAGACTATGCCCCAGACCCTCACTGCCAGCTTCAGATTGGGTAAAACTTTGTGCCTTTAAGACATTCCCTTCTGTCTCTGCTTGCCTCTGCCCTGCCCACCAAGGCCTCTGCCTCATAGAGGGGTTGGGGAGCTCTGGCAGCACAGTGAGGTCATGTATGATACCCTGTGACTCTGCCTCATAGAGGGGTTGGGGATCTCTGGGAGCACAGTGAGGTCATGTATGACATACCCTGTGACTCTGCCTCTTAGAGGGGTTGCGGAGCTCTGGGAGCACAGTGAGGTCATATATGATACCCTGTGACTCTACCCTGTCTGGACTCCCTCTTCCCCTTTTCCACTCCCACTGTCCCCTTTAGGCAGGCCCCTGTGCCCTAACTGTGGGTGGCCAAGTCCCAGTTGGCCCACCAGTGCACCAGGCCTGGGCTGGGGATCCCAGGCTGCAAGGACCTGGCAACAAGAACCTGCACCTGCCATGCTCAGCTCTCCACAGCCCGAGCCTGCACACCACCATCACAGTCTGGGCAAAACAGCATAGCTGGTACAGAATAGAGGTCAAGGTCCAAGCAGCACTCACACACAATGGGACCACAGTGTCTGCAAGCACAGCCTGATGCACAGCATCTGGAAGCCACCTATGCTGCTTGCTCATGCAGCACAGTAAGGAAAATGAGGCCTGTGCCCTCCTCATTCCCCTTGCACTGCCAGATCCCCATGCCCAGTACCAATGCCCTGCTGCACTGCTGCTGTGTGCCCAGCTATGGACTCTGCAGGCTTGCACCACCACTGCCACCTGCCACGCTGCTGCCACACTGAGCTGCCTGGCTCTACCAGCAGAATGGTCTGTGTCCAGCTGAGCCCATTCAGGGCTCACAAAGGCCACCACTGCTCATAGCTCCTTTGGCCCAGGCTGTGTGTCTCAGGCTCCACTATGTGCTCTCCAAACTCCCTCTCTGCTACTCTGCCACACACCTGATCCAGACTACTTACTTCCTGGTCCCCCACCCATACTTCCTTCACAAAGTAAAGAGAACAAGAGTCCATGTTCCTGTTTCTCTGTCAGACCTCTCCCAGTTCAGCCAGTATCTGAGCTCTTTCTCTTCATACTCAAAACCCCATATTTTCTCCAGCTCACAAAAAGTTAACTTTAAACCCCTTGATTAGAGACTCTTCCCTCTAGAAGTTTAAATAAACAAAGCTTACAACAACTGTTTGCCTTTAACAGAGGATAACAGTTGTCAAAAAGCAATCTACACTTGTGCTTTACATCTGGTAATTAAGACCAGTATGACTGAAATTCTCTTTGGGGTGTTCAACAATTAAGGTCTAGAGACCAGAACTAAAGCAAAAACTGGGTTGAAAAACATCCAGCATTTTGGTCCTGGCCCTCCAAGGTCTACGGAGACCCAAGACATGAGAGAACCCTTTTTACAGGATCCTACATCTCTGGTGAGTCACCAATCTCCTGAGCAGGGAGATTGCTCGACCCCAGAGGACAGAGATAAATAAATGGACAGTGTGCCAAAGGAGGGTCACCAAGACAGAAGGGTCTCTCCCATGCTTTCACAGAAAGCAACATGGTCAAGCAAGAACGTGACTCATCCTGGCAGCTGACACTGACAGAGAAGCTGACACTGACAGAGAAGCTGAGTGGCCCTGTACATGGTTCCAAGAGTAATGCCTCAAGAGGTTTCCCTGACCTTGACAGACAGCAAGAGGTCAATTTATATTAACACAAGTCTCATTTTAACTTGGTCTTAAACACCCAGCAGGCCCTTTAAGTGCCCTTCAAAGTAGTGGTTATTCACTCTAGAGGACCCCTACACTGGTCTCTCTCTCTCTCTCTCTCCTAAATAAAAAAAATAAACTAATGAGATAAACCATCATCCAAAATCAGATGGCCCTAGATATCCTGATAGCACAAGGGGATACTTATACAATTATAAAAGTTAAATGTTGCATCTACATGCCTGATATTTTTGCTAATATATCAGTGACTATTCAGCAACTGGTTAATGTCATGTCAGATTCTAAAACTCCTTGGACTTTCTCCTTACCCTCTTTGTGGGAAGCTATTACTGGCTCTTCCTGTTAAAAATATTTTTTGGATCTATTTATAATAGTCTTGATGATTTTATTGTTTGGTCCATACTTACTTAACAGTTGCTTTGGTCTTGTCTCCTCCAGATAAAAACATCTGACATGCACTAAAGGCCTTTAGATAGACTCCCTGGAGAATGTCTATAACTGCCTATCACTACTATGACTCCCTTCAGCCTGTAGCAGCTAGAAGGGTCATCACCTCCTGCTCCCTTCTCAGCAGTTTGAGATACCTCTTCACAAGGGGTAATATTATAGACAGCTAAGTTAGGAAAAATATTATAGGCAGTTAGGTAGGACTGGGCCTCCATAAAGTCAAGACAAAAGGTAAAAACACACAACTGTGGCTGGAGATGCATCAGATCAAGGCCAGGCATCAAGATAACGACAAAAGGACCATGTATACATACTCTCCAAGGGATGACCTACACATGTTACTTTGGCAGACAGGTCTTATAATCCTGCTTTATATTTGTTGCATTTGGACTCAGGTAAAAAAATGCCACATGGTGGTCTTTGATAAGAACTATAAGATAAATTTAGAAAATGCTGTTAAGTGGGTCTTCTTATTAAATCTAGTTTATATTTAGAAAATATACAAGCTTATTAATAAATCATGAGACCCTTTCCTATCAATTCAGCCTTTCTCTTCTTTCATGTTCATGTAAAAACTGATTGATGTGCCTTTAGTGACTTGTAAATCACAGTTGCTAGGTGATGGGGTATAAACTCAATCTCTGAGCCTCAAAGACACACATTTTTTTTGGGGGGGGGTGCGGGTACCAGGAGTCAAACTCCGGACCTTGCACTTGCCAGGCAGGCGCTTATGCCACTGAGCTATATCTCCGGCCTAAAGACATAGATATTTTAGAACAGGCATTAAAAAAATCCTTGTCTTGCTGTAAATGAATTGCCTAGATGATCAGAGAGATAACAGATGTTCTGGAGGCTTTTTTCCCCGTAAGGCCCAGGGCAGAGTTCCTCCAAGCCATTTGTTTGCTTGTATCTCTACAGGTGATCCTTCTACAGAGTAAAAAGTGCTCCAGCTATTTCTAACTTGCTCTTTGATATTCACTCTCTCAAAAAATTAAAAAACAGTGATTTAGATCTTATGATTATTATTCTTGCTATCAACGCTGCCTTCTCTAAACATGATTGTTACAGCTCAAAGCAATTATAACTTATGCTGGAGTTCATCAGGGACCCCTAACCAGCTCTTTCCCAGACCTTCTTGGCTTGGCCACCAAAGACAAACAGTCCAAAGGCTTTGGAAGGTCCCTGGAATATCTCAGAAGCCATCCTTGGGATAACTCTTACAGTGGTGGGTAAGTCCATCCTATTTTTAATCCATATGGGTGCCTGCCACTTCACTTCGCCTTCCTTCAAGGACCAACCTCCTTGGCCCCAATTACTGCGGTGGACATTGACAGTAAAGTCTCCAGACCCCTAGAAATGCCCCAATCTGGTGCCAATTGGGTCAAAATCTTTTTCCCACACCCATTTATAGTCATCCCTACCTGGCTCATTCCCCTTTTAGGGTAAGACATCTTAACCAAGTTGTCAGCTTAGCTAAGTTAACACAATCCCCAGGATACAACTCTGGGAAGCAACCAGGACTTACAGCCACCCTAATGACTCCTACTCCCCACCCTATGCCCACTGTAGCTCCCATCCTTTCCCCTCACTTCAACCCCAGAGTCTGGGACACTTCCACCCCATCCCTGGCTTCATTCAAATGCCTACCATCCTCAAGCCTAACCACCCCTACCCTGCCCAACATCAATATCCAATCCCTGGCCCATCTTTACAGGGAATATAACCCATTATTTCTTGCTTATGGTGACACAGTCTCTGAATCTCCATCATTTCTCCTTATAACACTCCCATTCTCCTGGTACAAAGGCAGATGTCTCTTATAGGCTGGTTACAAGACCTCTATGCTATCAACCGGATTGTCCTCCCCATACACCCCTGACAATTTTGTCTTCTATCTCTGTCTACCACTCAATACTCTGTCTTCTATTTAAAATATGCCTTTCACTATTCCCCTGCATCCTTCCTCATAGCCTCTCTTCATCTTTATCTGGGCAGACCCTAACCCTCATTAGTCACTTTTTCAGACCTTAAAATAGGCCCTATTACTCCTAGAAATGCTCAAAATCACTAGACATGCCCCACTCACCCTTTACTCATCCCATAATCTTCAGGGACTCATGTCTTCCTCTCACCCCTCACACTTTCTCCCTACCCCTCTCCTGGCTTTCCACCCTTCTTCCCACTGGGACAGAGAAAGGCTCGCTTCACTTTCTGTGCCATTTAAACCCAGTGTTGGCACAGAAACACCTTCTGGAAAGAACTGTCTTCCAGGGGCTGGGGATTTAGCTCAGTGGCACAGTGCCAGCCTGGCAAGCACAAGGTCGTGAGTTCGATTCCCGGTACTGGAAAAAAACAAAACAAAACAAAAAGAACCTCTTCCCTTGGTGTTTAGCTAACTGCAGAGACACTTGCCTTGGCCACTCACTCATGCTCTGTTACAGCCATGAGTCTCAACTGGAGATGGCTGCTTTGGACTTGGTTGCCACTCTCATTCTGACACACTGGGCATGACAAGACCTCTCTCTGCTCTCCATGGGAAATCTTCCTTTTTCTGTTCCTCTGTGCTTCCCCTTAGCCTGTCTCCTCAAAACCTAAAACCTCTCCAGACCTCCTGTGATCTGCCAAGATACCCTTGTCCATGCCTTCTTTACACTCTGTAACCTTCCCACTCTGTGCTCCTCCTATGATTCCTCTCAAATCCTTCTCCTTTCCCTCCCGTCTGCACTCCCCCTACCCAATGCTCACTTCTCCCTAATAACAGATTCAACTAACTTAGCTCCCCGCAGGAAGCCCCCTGCCAAGGCCACCACAGCTGCTTCTCACCTTCCCCCAGAGCTTCCTGCCAATCAGGTGACACCTCCTAACTCTAACCCTCCTTTTCCTACACACCAAGAGCAAGACATTTCTCCAACTCAGGACTGGCAAATTGATTTCACCCACATGCTGTGAGTACAAAAATTAAGATATCTCCTAGTCTGAGTTGATACCTTTACTGGATGGATGGAGACCTTTCCCGCAAGCTCAGAAAAGGTTTCAGCCATTGTCAACTCCCTCCTAGCTGATACTATCCCCTAGTTTTGCCTCCCCACCTCTGTTCAATCAGACAGTGACCCAGCTTTCCTTAGTCAAATTACCGAGGAGGTGTCCAAGTCACTTGGTGTCCAATAAAACCTCCATACCACCTACTGGCCTCAATCATCCAGAAAGGTAGAGATAAGAACAATCAGGCCCATTTCACTAAGCTCACACTCCAGATCTATAAAGACTGGATTTCGCTGCTCCCTATTGCTCTTCCTCACATCTCTGCCACTCCTGGGATATGTAGTCCATGTAAGCTTTTATACGACCACACCATTCTCCTCAGACCAAACCTCAGCTCAAGGGCCAGCCCCATCAGAGACTATCTCCCAGTTCTGCAACAGGTCCTAAAAGAGCTATGACACGCTGCTAACCTTCTCCTACCTTCTCCCAACCCCCAGCATTATGAAGATAGCCTAACATATTTGTCCTAATTAAAAGTTTAAAACCCCAGACCCTACAGCCTAAGTAGGCAGGAGCTTTCCTGGTCATTTACAGCATCCAGATGGCAGTCCATCTACAAGACCCTCCCCAGTAGGTACATCCTTGTGGGTGAAGCTGGGTCCTGCTGATAACTCATCTGACTCTTCTTTGTGAAAATCACAAGTAATCTCCCCTACTCCCCTCAGGCTGATCCAAATTCCAGAAGATACCTGAATGCCCTTGCCCCTGCCTATCCTGCCATTTCACAAACTTCCTTCATTCACTTGACCTTGATCTTTCTTGGTTTCACCCTCAGGCCCCCACCTTTGAGTCATTCCTTACATGGATAAAAGATCTCCTTTTTCAGGACACTTTGTGTGACTTTTCCCTAAACCAGGAAGGGTCCAATTATTCTCCACCTCTCTGCACTTTCTTGTCCGGCTAGCCCTTCTGTTCCTTTTGCCATGTCCCACGGTTGAATCACATCCCTCCTCCTGACGGTCCTTGATCACCTCTACAGGACCCTGCAGCTAATTCACTCCATGCTAAATCAGTCTAAATCATTCCTTAGCCAAGGTCACTGGCTTTGTATCTCCCATCTTCAGCCTTGTATATGACCACTCCAATCAGTCCCCACATCTGGGTTCTTACTAACCTCACACACCACTCCCCTATCATCCTGTCCCCCAGTCTCTCTCCTGATTAAGGTGTCTGCACTGCCCACATGTTTTACACAAAGAAGCCATGAGAAAGAGCACCCACCTCCCCTACTCCTTTTTTCCCATAACAACAAAGAGACAAGATTATCATGACTGCTGGGCATGGTGGCACACACCTGTAATCCCAGCACTCGGGAGACTGAGGCAGGAGGATCATTGTGAGTTCAAGGCCAGTCTGGGCTACAAAGGGAGTTCAAGACCAGCCTGAACTGCATAGTGAAACCCTGTCTCAAAAAAAAAAAAAAAAAAAAAAAAGAATATCATGACCAATGGGTGAGGCTGTTACCCGTAGGCATCGCAGGAAACCATAGAAGGACAAAGCCATGTCCACCTGAACCATCTGTCCTGAGAAACACGACCACACTCTCTCTACCCCCTTCTGCACCTTTAATATGATCTCCTTATCTAAACCTAAATAAGTACCTTAAGATATCCCCTGTGAATACTGAGACATTTCTCTGTTAGTAAAATATTCACTAAATATAATTTCGTTAAATTTATAAAACACAGAATTTAATTCTTACCTGAGTATCTACAGACTGAGAATTCATAACACTTTGATTGTAGAAATAAAGCATAAAGTTCGTTGCTAGGAAGAATCTAAATATAAATAAGAGTGAAAGAATTTTAAAAGTTTTTCTTTTCAAACATACAAAACAGCAGTCAGCAAGATGACAGCCTCGGGCAAAATGTTACCCATTTTCTGTTTTTATAAATATTCACAGGAACACAGCAGTGCCTATTAGTGTATTTAAGCTGAAGTAGCAGAAGAAAATAGTTTGGGAGAGATCATATGGCCTTCAATGACTACAGAAATTTAGTCTCTGGACGTTTACAGAAAAAGTATGTCAATCTCTGGTAGTGTTTTACATATACATACATATATATATATATATATATATATATATAAAATACATGGTTACTCAAAATAATTTTCCAGACTTAATGAAATTTAAAGCAATAAAAAGGACTGAAAGAAGAGGGAAAATGCCTTTAAAATACAAAGACATAAAGTAGATGCAAGACTATGAGTTTTCTGTGTTTTCACTGTAGGTTCCACTACCATGTATATAATGTATATTACTTTCACAATGAGGTAAAAGAATCTTAGGTAAAAGTCTTACTTTTGGCACAGGTGTTGAAACTTCAAGTCTATGTTCAGCCTTCTGTGGTTATGATTTCTTGTACTTGTTATGCTATTTTAGTTATGCCTGCTCAATTCATGCTGATTCCAACCCAGTGTAACTTAAGTAAATTATCCAGACTAACTTCTTTTGGGAAATGTAGGCTAAACTTTGTTTCACAAGAGTTACTAGTGACCACCTACATGTCAAAACCAAAAAACAGTCTGAAGTCAAGTAATATTACCCTGAAGCACTTCACACTGGACTGTATCGCCCCTGTACAACAGCTGGTTTTAATGGTACTGTTTCCTTTTGGTATTGTTATAGGCAGCTGAGTTAGATAGAAGTATTATAGGCAGTCAGATAGGCCCAGGCCCTCCAAAGAGCTGACAGGAAAAACAAGATACCTTGTGAATGGAGAGGTATTTGCTGTGGGCCAGACCTCAAGACAAAAGACTAAACAAATATACCCACACACCTCCTTAGGCGTGAACATCAGGGATTGATATTCTAAATAGATAGCAATCACACTGAAAAAGCCAGGAAGAATCACTAGCCTAACCCCTTACAGGAAAAGCCGCTGTTCTGTATTCACGCCCCTTACTATGTGACTGGCTTCCCCATTTGATCCCGGTTTACTCAATTTTACGTGAACAATTGTACTTGTAATCTTATTGGCTGACCATAGTTTTGTCCCACCTCATGCCCACTTTATAATCTCCCATTTTCCCCCTATCTTGGACCCACCTCACCTCATGGTTTTGCTCTATAAAGTCCCTGGGCAGGGCAAGGTCCTTGTCACCCCACTCGGGCCCTCTTCTGTCCCTCTCTTGGACAGAACCTTTCTTTCCCTCAACAAATATATTCTGAGGGGCTGGGGATTTAGCTCAGCGGCACAGCGCCTGCCTGGCAAGCATGAGGTCGTGAGTTCGATTCCCCGTACCAGGAAAACAAAACAAAACAAGAAAAAGAAATATATTCTGCTCTTAACCTTCATTCTTCTTAAAATTCATTCTTCGATTTTAAAGAACATGAACTCATTCCAGATACCATTCAGATTAGGAGTTTCTATTTCCCTGTATCAGTATCCCTCATGTCTTTCTGTCTACTGATATACATCATTTTGTCTAGCCTTTCTTCATTCCCTTAATTGTTCCATAGTATTCGGTTCTACTTTATTTTGCTTTCTCATCTTTACAATACATCACAAGCACTACATTTGTGTCTCATTCATTTCTGTGAGTGTACACTACCTATATGTACTATATACTACATAGGTATATAGTACCTATATACTATATAAATAGAGGGCTTTTATTAGTGTAACTGTAGTATATTTTGATGTTTGCTAGTGTGCTGCCTGCAGCTTTGCTCATTTTGCTCAAGACTTCTTTGGAGACTTGCAGTCTACTGTACTTCCAGATACATGTTAGAATGCTTTTATCTTATCTGCTTCTGTAACAAAAAAAGTCATTGGAATTTTGCTAAATAGGACTGCTCACTTGATTTTTTTTCATATCCTTTAGTATTTCTGTATAGATATATTACTGACTTCAAGTTGATTTTGGATCCTATAACACCCAAACTCATTTATTGGATATAATAGATTTATTTTAAGTTCTAAGGGTTTTTAATGTATTATGCTCATTATAATGTATTTTAATGTTATCTGCAAATGGGGACAATTTAACTTTTTCCAAACTGAATGCCTTTTCTTTCTTTCTTTCTTTTTTTCTTTCTTTCTTTCTTTTTCTTTCTTTCTTTCTTTCTTTTTTTCTTTCTTTCTTCCTTATGTTCTCCCCCCCCTCTTCCCCCCTCTTTCTCTTTCTTCCTTTCTTTTGCCTAATTGCTCTGTCTGGAATGTCCACTACTATCTTGAACAAATGCGGTTAGAATAGGTATCTTGTCTCATTTCTAATTTTAGGTGGTCTTAGGAAAAGCTTTCAACAGTTGACCTTTGTTTGTTTGTTTTGTTTGTTTATTTGTCTGTCCCCCCCGCACCTCCCCTCACCACCACTGGGAATCAAACTTACAAACTTGCACTTGCCAGGCAGGCTCTGTGCCACTGAGCTAAATCCCCAGCCCTTGTTGACTTTTGAATATGATATTATCTATGAATTTGTCATTCGTGATATTTATTGTATTGAGGTATATTCCTTTTATACCTAATAGGTTGAGAATTTCATCATAAAGGATGTTGAAAGTCATACCTCTCTCCTATGTTCAAAATCAAATTAATTTTAACTAACCATTTTCCATAGAATGTCTCACAAATGGTTCTTGTACAGCTTTTCCAACAAAAATCCATATTTCCCCTGACTGGGTCTGATTCCCTTTTCCCTCTACTCTGACTACAGAAGTCTAACCAGTCCCGCCAACTATCATAAGATCATCTGCAAGTGGTGAGTCCCCACTTTCTCACTTCTGAAATCTCATTCATAAAAGATTACATAAATTTTAGGGCCAAAAATTTAGGTCACAAGAGAGCATTAGTTCATCCAAGACAAACAAAAAGTTTAATAATAATTAATTTATTATTTTTCATACAGTATTTTATTACAAGGAGAAAGTTTCATAGATATAAAATGAAATCCTAAAGAATAAAAACTTACCTTGGCCTTAGGTGCACAGTATATGACTTTTCATCTATTGTAATAACATAGGATATCTGGTTCTAAAGTAAAGAATCAAGAACAACTAAGAGTGAAGGCAAATTTAATATTAGAAGCAAAACAATTTTACATCAATTAATTCCTCCAAACAATGCTTAAAATATCTAAGAGTACATATGATTTAAAATTTTCAACAAAAAAACAAGGAGTTTTAACATTTATTATAAAACGTATTTCTGCCAAAAATAATCAATATAAGGATTTATATAAAAATAGACATCTACATGTAGCTCAACTGTTAACTCTTATCAAAGAAGAGACTATGCACTATGCTGAAACGTTTATTCATATGGCACTGTGGAGGACTACTAGGATGGCTCTCATTCAAAGAAGAGTATCTGTCTCCATTTTCAAAGCTGAGGCACTAACCCCAAAACACAAGATACTTCCTCAAGCTGTTATGCAGATTACCCTTTCTACATACCTCTCTCTCTGCATATTGCAGAGGTACTATCTTACCTCTTACCTAGCCCAGTTCACAGCCTTCGCATACTTTCCACCATTCTCACAGTCACTCATCCCCAGGGTACTCCCCTCTTTACAAATTAATAAAACCCGGGTTCAGCTCTGAGTCCAGGTCTTTACTCTGATTAGCCATTGTTCTAACTGGACTTAGGGTCCCTATGGCTCCCCACCACTATAGATATGTGTTTATCTCTTTATTCTCACCATGGGTTGCACTGGAAGTGGCAGATGGAATTACTTTTTAGAATTCCAAGAAGTTTTCACTGGGCTTACAAATATGGACTCCTCCGGACCAATGAGGCCAGGGAGGGATTGTTATGTTGTAAGCAGCTGAGTTAGATAGAAACATTAGAGGCAGTCAGATAGGACCAGGCCCTTGAAGGAGCCAGCTTGGAAAACAAGATACCGTGCAACTGTGAGACAGACAGACACTTCCAGCTATGGGCCAGACCTCAAGACAAAAGATGAAACAAATCTACCCACATACCTGCCTAAGGATAAATATCGGGGATTGATATTCTAAATAGGTCTCTATCACCTTGAGAAAGCCAGGAAGAGTCACTAACCCAACTCCTTAGAGGAAAAGCCTCTGTTCTGTATTCATGCCCACTTGGTATGTGACTCCATTTGGTCCGGATTTAATCAATTTTACCTGAGCAATTATACTTTTAATCTCATTGGCTGATCAAAGTTTTGTCCCACCTCATGCCCACCTTGCAATTTCCCATGTTTCCCACCTTGGACTTACTTCACCTCATGGTTTTGCTCTATAAAAATCCCTAGAAAAGCCACGTTCCTCGGCTACCCACTTGGGTCCCCTTCTCTCTCTGTCTCGGACACAAGCTTTCTTTCTCTCAACCAATATATTCTGCTCTTAACTTCCATTGTTCCTAAAATTCATTCTTCAATTTTTAGAGAACACAAACTTGTACCAGATACCTGTCGGGCTGGGAATTTCTTTCCCCTATACCATTTATAGGCATCATTAGGATAATAAGGTACTCGACAACAGTGATACTTCCTGTACCAAGCACAAAAATGACTTACCATTTTCTTTAAAAGCTTCCTTAGTGGTACTACCTCTTTCCTATCTTTTTAAATTGAAGGTTCTTGATTGAAATTTAACATTACTTTTGACTCTATCATTAGAATTTTCAAGTTAAAATACTGGTAGCCATACGTTAGAGTCTATCTACCAGTCAATGCACCTGATAAGATTTTATCCAGCAACAAAGAACATGTGGTAATCAAGAGTCAGTGTTATCTGTACAGGAAAAATAGGCATGTAAAAATAAAAACGATAAAAATACTAGGACAACAAAAAAGGTAAGTGCTCCAGGATCTAGGACAAAAAGATGCCAGTATATTGCACAAACCAAAGAGGGATAAGGCAAGTTGTGCAAAGGTCAGCAAATAGTCAAAAATGAAACCTGAAGGTTAAGTTCATTAGTAATAAATTGGTATCATGTACCCAATATGATGTAATGTTGAACATGTTAATGTTCCTTAAATTTCATAACCTTAGTTTAAGGATGAAAAAATATCACACAAAGCTAAAATGAGGGGCATTCTACAAAATTCCTAACCAGTACTCTTCAAAATGGTCAAGACCATGTAAAACATGGAAAGACCAAAACATAACAAAGGAGACCAGGAGGGCATGCAATGGGGTATCCTGTTTTACATTCTGGAACCAAAAAAGGACATCAGTAGAAAAACTGATGAAATCCAAAGAAAGCAGTAATTGGTATACCCATTAATACACTGTTCATTGGTAATATATAACAATGTTAATTTCTTGGTTTTAACAAACATAATGCATCAACATAACTGTGTAAGTGAGGCAGAATTTGAAAAGAAAAAGTCAAGTATTCCCAAACTTCCCTCTCTCTACAGCCAATGTTCTTTGTTCTAATACAGATAAAAACAAGAACTTTGGCACTGTAAGTAAAGTTTCATAACCTCCTGTTCTGATAACGTTCTGTTTTTACCCAAACAAGGCCACTGGGCACAGCTTGACAAACTGCCTTTGTTCTGCTTGCCCACCCCTAAGTTACAGGCCACTAGATCAACCCCCTCAGAAGCATGTATAAAACTAGAGGCCTTCCTTTGGTCAATGCTCAGTCTTTTGGACATGAATCCACTGAGTCAGATGTACACCTAAATAAACCCATCCTGCTGTTTCACCTGCAGTCTCTTCTGTCTCTTGAATTCTGTAGTATAAGTTTAAATATTAGAGGAAACTGGGTGTACAGCATATGGGAATTCTCTGCAATAGCTACACCTTTTCTTTAAATCTCAATTTCTTTCAAAATTTTTAATATTTATTTTTAAAAACAGAAAAATTTAGGAAAAATGCAAAACAAGCCTGAGATATAAAGCAAAAATGCCAAAGAGGAGAGTCTTGTAATGAAGCAGCAGGGTAAACTAGTTTTAAAATCTCAGTGATAAGAAAATAAGTCCTCTGAAAGCTTGTCCTCAGTGTAATAATTAAGTATGAATGCTGAAGGACCTGTATTTTTATTTTTTAGTTTTTGGTACTGGGACTCAAACTCAGGACTTTGTGCTTGGGAGGCATGCACCTGTGTTGCTGTGCTATATCCCCAGCCTCTCTACTTCTGTAGTGGACTTGATGTTCAAGTAGCCATCCAAAGGAGTTTTTGGATGGATATTTTCCCAAAACAAAAACTTAGTAATTATTAAGATGTTAAAAATTAAAAATTTTTTTAAAATTAAAGTATAAATTTAACATTATTTCTTGGTAAATTGCCTTACGGCTTTCTCTATTTTTTTTAAGGATTTCACTAAATTTTTCCAAATTGTCTGAAAATAAAGGCATTTTATGCTAAATCCCATCATGTAAGTACAGTTAAGGGCATAATATTTAATACACTAGTATTTTAATAATTACTAAGACTGGTTTATCTTGATAGATACCAAAAATTTTGATAAAATTCAAATGCCAGGATGATTAAAAACTCTAAACAAATACGTAGGGAAGGAATGTACTTCAGGCCATATATAAAAAGTTAGAGTTAATACTATTTTGCTTTTTTTCCATTTTTTAAAATTTTAAATAGAAAAGAAGGCAAAACAACAACAAAGATAAAAATAAAACAACACAAAAACAATAAAAAAGATACAGAATTTCAAAACAAGATCATAGGAAATTAACAATGGTTGTTATATTGCATATTGTTATCTTCAGCGAAGTTCGTCAGCGAAGTTCGTCAGATTACCAGATGTAAGAATTCAAGATGATCAAACAATTAAAAAGAAGTTCGTCAGATTACCAGATGTAAGAATTCAAGATGATCAAACAATTAAAGAGAACAAAAAATAATTTAAAAGAGACATTAGAAATGATACAGAGCTTCACAAATCAAAATGCTAGGAATTCATCCATGGTTGTTTATTGCATATTGTTGTCTTCAAATTAGTTATTCAGATTACCAGATATAGGCATGAAAAATTGGTAAAAAAAAAAAAAAAAAAGAATTAACTGTTCCTTTCAATAAACCAACAGACATCAGCATTACAATTATCCAGCTATCTTTGTATATCCATATATATTTTTTCCCTGCCTTCTTTCGTTCTTTTTTCCTTTCCCTCATCCCAGTTGTTCCTTCTCTTTGAGCAATTTTCTTCCTTCTCACAATATCTATTGTACCTTTTGGGTTTTAGTTACTCTTTCAGGTTTTTGCACTAGGGAGACAATACGATGTTTACACATATGGGTCTGATTCATTTCACTTATGAGCATGGTCTGTAGTTGCATCCATTTACCCCTGATGGGCAACCAGGTTGTTTCCAAGATTAGCTATGACAAATTGCGCTGCTATAAACATGACTGCATATAAATTACTGTGGTATGATGTTTTCAGTTTTCCTGGAAAAATACCAAGAAGGGGAATAGCTGGGTTGAATGGGACACCTCTCATCCTAGTTTTCCGAGGAATCTCCATACTGATTCCCATAATGGTTGTAGCAGTCTAGACTCTGACCAGCAGTGGAAAAATGTTCCTTTTTCTCCGTTTTGCAACAAGAAAAGATCAACATTTTGCCTAACTCCTGATACCAGAAAGCTTACTTCTACCACTTTTATTTAACACAGTAGTCAAAGTCCTAGCAGAACCTACTAGGCAACAGCAAAAAGTAAATCACCCCCAAGTTAGAAAGGAGGATGTCAAATCATCACTGTTTACAGATGATGTGATCTTATAAATAGAAAATGCCAAGACTCCACAAGAAGTTGTTAAAACCAAATCATTAATTTAGCAAACATGAAAATCAGTAGCAATGTTACATACCAACTGTGAATTACCTGAAAAAGAAATTGAAAGAATAACAGCATTCTCAATAAGTACAAAAAATATTTAGGAATAAATTTACCCAAAAGATAATTCTCTACAATGACAATTATAGAACATTACTGAAGGGAATTGAAGAGACACCAAAAAAATAGAAAAGCATCCTATGTTCACGAATTAGAATATTTACTATTGCTAAATGTCCATAATAGCAAAATTGGTTTATTTACATTACAGATTCAATGTAATCACCATGAAAACTTCATGGCATGTTTCATAGAAATAGGAAAAACAATTCATTTTAAAACAATAGCGGAAAAGTGAAATAATTAAAATGCAAAATTTAACAGAGCAGTTCAACAGTAGACTGAATCTGGTAAAAGGAAGAATAAATAAATTGGATTACATGACAAGAAACATTACCTATTCAGGAAAACAGAAAAAGAATGAAGGAAAATAGAACCACACAAGCCTGTAAGACAACCTGACATGTATGTAAAGGCAATTCCAGATATCTAAGAGAAATAGATTTGGTCAGGAAAAATATTTGAATAAATTGATGGCAAAACCACACAAAATTAAAGAAAAAGATTTATCTACTCATTTCAAATCTTAATAAACTGCAAGGACAAAGTATTCAAGAAGATAAACATTGGGATAGTTTCTGGTCACTCTCACAGGACCTAAACATAATGAGAAAAATCTTCAAAATATCAAGACAAAAATGTTTCATCACATAAAACAAAGCATCAATACCATGAATGACAGATTTTTCTTCTGAAACAATGGAAGCAAAAGGGCAATGAAATGAGGTATAAATTGTGCTGAAAGAAAAAAACCTGCCAGCCAACAAATCTATATTCATCAAAACCTGTTTCTAAACTGTTAACACAAACACCTGCTTTAGTAGAAATACTAAAGGAAACCTGCAGACTTATGAGAAATGATAACAGATAGTATCTTAAAGAACCAGAAATAGAAATAGTAAAATAAATGAGTTGATGTAACATAGGTGATATTAACAGAAATTTATTTGCATAGAATTCTGAGGCCCAGAAGTCAAGATTGTTATGCTGGCAGGCTGGCTTACAAAAACAAAGCTAAGATCCATAAAAGACAACATGATGTCACAAAAATCGAAATGTTTCAAACATTTTAGAGAATGAAAAGGCAACCTATAGCTGGGAGAAAATGATGAAATGTATACAACTGATAAAAACTTATACCCAGAATACAGTATGACTTCCTAGTACTCAAAAATAAACAATTTAAAAATAGATAAAAGATTTGAATAAATAACTGGGAGAATGCTATATAAACAGATAAAAGACACATGAAAAATATTCAAGATCATTATTTATTGGGAAAATGTACCTTAAAACAATTATATCCCCACTATAGTGGATTTAATCCAGAAGACAGAAAACATCTAAAGTGCACAAGCATGTGAGAAAACCAAAAAGCTACATTGCAGATTTGAAATGTAAACAATACGGTTGTTTCTAAAACTTTCAAGCAAGAACTTAACCTGCAACTCATTATTTCATGCCTAAGCAGCCACCCAAGAGAAAGGAAAATATATGTCCACATGTGGAATGGTCATAGATAATTATGCATTACAGTCAATATCTGAAACCAATCAAAATGTCCACCAGTTGGTCAATGGATAAACACTTATTAATTAAGAAGGAAACATTAATGACCTGATAATATTACAAAATAGGTAAAAGTGACTGAAATAAATGTGATGAAAAGATCTATATATCATGTTTCTATTTGCAGGAAAGATAAAAAAATGCAGCACAAATTTATGAAGATGAGAGGAGAGCAGTATTTGCCAATGGAGCTAGGGATGGAAAGAGAGACAAACCACAACAGGACAGAGGGAAAGTTGCAAGGCTATGAAAACATTCTATAACTGGATTGTGATTATGTTTGCACAACCCTCATTATGTGTAAGCCCAATCATGGAGCTGTATATTCATGATGCATGAATTCTGTAGTGTGCAATGTATACCTCAATAAATCTGCCAAAAACAAAGCATTGTCGAAAGATTGGCCACTTATAAGTCAGGCTTGTTTAATTTCTTCTTTCTAATCTCCTACAACACTTAATATATTTACATGGCAACTGCAGAGAAATTGATGTTAAATAAATCAGTGAATAAAATAAAGTATTACTCTTTCTAATAAAAAATAGTAAACTACTTAAGGTATTTTCTTGTCCAAGAATGGGTAGGCAGAGGAATCAAGAGCGAGGAAGGAAACTTTTGTCAAAAGACATTGTTAATTGTTTTTGAGACTATTATTCTCCTCATCTAAATCTCCAAGCTACCTCCTTCACACCACGAAGACACTTAGCTCTATATTATTAAGACACTTAACTCTTTAATATTTCCTATATTTGAACTTTTAAAAATAATTTGCCAAGAAATGACACATTTTAAACAGAGCATTATTATTTATATATTTGCTTTTACCATTAAAACTTTAAATTCTGTTTATTGATAGCAATATTAGATATTTACATTTGTATTATAGTGGAGCTGATATATTTTAGAGTTACATGATAAAAATAAAAAGCTTCACATAATAGTTTACATTGTAAAAAATTTTATATCTTACTTTTATATTATCACTTCGATTTTCTTGGAGTTTCTCTGGAAATATGACTTGAAGGAATGAATTTTCAGAACCTGAAGAAATTTTTAAACAAAAGTCAGCAACCTGCCTTAAATTTGACTAAATACTTCTTTGCTTTCTTTTGTTTTGTTTT